TTGATTAGCATACCATTTGTATAACCACAGTTTTACTACAGATACCATGGTTAAACTATGGTTAGTGTAGCAAAACCATGGTTAATTTGTAGTTACCACTCTATGGTTTAACTGTAGTAACCATGGTTTTCTGCTTTTATTTGTAGTAAACCCATGGTTCATTTTTGTAAGCGATATTAAACATCTAGGTTTAATATTTGAGTTATGACTGATCAATCTATTAGTTCACTTTTAAATAAGATTCATCAGCCATCGATTATCTCCCCCCAAAATAAATAAATAAATAAAAATAAAACTAATAAAAACTATGTTGTGATGCAAAAATATTTGCATGTTTACTTATGCTAAGGTGACCAGACGTGCCACTTGCTGGGGACACGTTCTGCACAGGATTTCTAAATTGCCTAAAAAAATAACCAGGGCTGCGTTCAGCCCTGACAAAACGGTGCAAAACGTGTTTTAAACGGAAACGGTGGTGCGTTGAACACTGTTCTAATGACGCAAGAGTTGCAGCTGAGAAGGCCATTCTTTGTGCTCTTTTTGAAGAGTTCTCGGAGCCTGATGAAATCGGTATAAATACGTGTTTAATACTGCAAAATACGCTCGATGTTACAGTCACTGCCCTTGCCCTCCAGAATAAAAGAGAACATCCCAATCAAATGAAGGGATTTGTGGAAACTGTGGTTCCTAATTATTGTGATCCAACATTTGCCTCGCATTTCAGGATGAAAAGACAAACATTTCAGGTGAAGGATAATCCACTTCTTACGGATATGGACCAGAAGACATTGCAATTACTAAATGATATTTAGACGGACTTAAAGAAGTTCTTGTGCCCTTATTATTTCAGTTATTTTGCCTTTAATGTAAATAAACATGTGCAAACAATATAGGCTACTTGCTCTTGTGAATTTATTTGAATGTTAATTACATTGTGCGAGCTGTCTCTTGGCTGACATGTTTGACACACCCACCAAACAAGAGAAAACGCATCTCAAACCCCGTTGCATACCGTTGCACACCGTTTCCAGGAGCCATGTCGTTCAAACTGGAAACCGTAGCAAAACGGTGCACACCGGTTTGAGCTTGAACTTGCCCCAGGTGTTGGTTGTTTGCGCTGCGCCGATCGATCGATCGTTGTATGACATCAAAGTACCGCAAGAGCGATTCGAAAGCATGGGGCCATCTGCGCTGCTCGCTAGCTCTCGCGGTACGTTGATGTCATACAACAATCGATCGGCATCAACCAAATAACCAGCACCAGGTTATTTTAGGCAATTTACAAATCCTGTGCATATAACGTGTCCCCGGGAAGTGGCACGTCTGGACACCTTGACTTATGCTGTTGGCATATTTCCAATTAAACAGAATATTCTATGAAGAAAACGATAGCAAATTAACAAACATTGTTGTATGTGACTGAATATTTTAATCATCTTGCACAACTAGCACGTTTCCTTTAATCTCATATTCGATGGTGTTCCAGTCAAACACGTTTCCCCTCGGCACGCGCTGCGCGTGGTTCAGATACAGCGCTTTAATCTGGTTTCCGGTGAGGACGTAGTCCCACATGTTCAGGTCCGTGAGCTCGCCGGCGAAACTCTGCACCGCCTCGAAGTCCCCCAGGTGTTTATCGGGGTCCTGGCCGAGAAGAGCGGTGCCCTGCGGGTGGATGCTGTGACCCGGTTTATACAGCTGGAACGCGCTGCGGTGCCCATTCACCCAGAAGGCCGTGAGTCCGGTGCGCGAGGCCCAGGTGAGGCACAGGTGAGTCCGGAAGGTGGAGAGAGGAGGCAGGTGGAAGAACGCTCCGTCGCCACTGAGGTAGAAGGACACACGACCGTCTTTCTCTCTCCACACGTTGAGCTCGTCAAAGTCTGGCGTCCGGTAGGCGAAGAGAATGATCTGACGCTCGCCCTGGAGCTCCGTCGCGACGCGCATGCAGAGAGTCAACGCAGTAAGGCCCAATGGCTTTTTAGGTGTGAGTTTAACGTAGCTGAAATCAGTCTCATACGGGAACAGAAGCACTTTACCAGCAAGACCCACTGCAAGACAAAATAAAATACTGTAACAAACACAAAACAAGCACAAACTCCTGCTGTATTAATTTGAACGTACCTTCTGTAGCTGCTGGATTCAGAGAGAGCAGAGAGAAAAACAAAACCACCGGCACCAACATCTTGCTGCAGGTCTGAAGGAAACAGAACAATGAAATAATAATACATAGGCATACATACATGGATAAGTACATTTGTAATGTACAGTTTAATTATACATAATTTATACTGTTTTTAAAAGGGGAAAAAATATATTTTGCAAAGTAAATTTTGTTCTAGAAGTAAAATTGTTATAAAACTCAATGCAAATAAATTAGAAAAAATACATAAATAAAAACCACTGTGCAAATTAAATACTATAATTGTGCTTAAAATAACTAAAGCTACAATTGAAATGAAAAAAAAATTGCTAACATTTTACAATAAGGTTCCATTTGTTAACCTTAGTTAACAAATACTAACAACGAAAAATATTACATTTACATTTAGTCATTTAGCAGACGCTTTTATCCAAAGCAACTTACAAATGAGATATATATATATACTTATAAAGCATTTGATTTGTTGATCTTAATGTTGATTCCAACATTTACTAATACATCATTTAAAATCGAAAGTTTATTAATGTTATTTAATGGACCTGAGCTAACATGGACTAACAATGAACAGTTGTATTTTATGAACTAATGTTAACAAAGGTTAATAAATACTGTAAATTGTTATAAAACTCAATGCAAATAAATGAGAAAAAATACATAAATAAAAACCACTGTGCAAATTAAATACTATAATTGTGCTTAAAATAACTAATGCTACAATTGAAATGAAAAAAAAAATTGCTAACATTTTACAATAAGGTTCCATTTGTTAACCTTAGTTAACAAATACTAACAACGAAAAATATTACATTTACATTTAGTCATTTAGCAGACGCTTTTATCCAAAGCAACTTACAAATGAGATATATATATATACTTATAAAGCATTTGATTTGTTGATCTTAATGTTGATTCCAACATTTACTAATACATCATTTAAAATCGAAAGTTTATTAATGTTATTTAATGGACCTGAGCTAACATGGACTAACAATGAACAGTTGTATTTTATGAACTAATGTTAACAAAGGTTAATAAATACTGTAACGGCGTATTGCTCATTGTTAATGTTAGTTAATGCATTAAATATACTTAACATATAGAACCTTATTGTAAAGTGTTAGCGACATATAAAAATGGCAAAAAACCTACAAATTGAACCAAAATTTAAATGAAAACAAAATATAAAAATGAATTAAAAATATTAATAAAAACTAGTATCTGTGATACTAAAATAACACTGGTGTGCCATTGCTATCGAATTACAGAGCTGCATTATTATTATTATTATTATCACTATTATTACTACACTGTACCATTTAGTATCATTATGCATCTAAGTTGAGATGATTTTCAATGATATATAAATTATGACTAAACAAGGCAAGACTTCCAGAATACTTACTGCGTAGCAGAAGGGTGTTTATTTCTCTCTGAGTGAAGAAACGCTGCTGAGCCGCTTCCCTCCTTGCACCATCATGTCATCAGACAATCCAACAAAAGATGCTTTGTGAGGATTCACACAATCATGAGACCGAAAACTCATTAAAGAGACAAAAAGAGGTTTTCAAATGTCTCTTCCTCTGTATTTCTGTGTCAACCAAATGAACAGATGATAACAAATGTCAAACAGGTAGACAGAGCAAAACCTTTTCACTGCCTCATTCTTATATTAAATCATATTTAATTGAGCATGAACGTACTACATCACTTTTTCAAAGATGTGTTACAGAAGTATTCGTTGTTCAGACAGTTTTATCTGAAAGAAGCTCAGTCGAGCTCAGCTGGTTGTAATCAGGAGGTTCTCCAGTATTTAAATGCATTGGGAATGAGCTCAGATTCAGGAACGATCCTCCTCACTGTCTTTTTATAATCCAGTGATATGGTGTGAACTTCAGTAGAATTCATACTAAAATAAAAGATCACAGTAGGTGTATTAAAGTCATTACACAGCTTCAGGTTTGAGCCTCCCCACTATAATTTTTTCTGTTTAACCTGTAAAAGAGAAGTTGATGTTTCCTACAGTGACATTCAGTGCATGCCGTTTTATAGACTCATTATTAAAAGACTATGTGGAGCATGTGTTCTTGTATTAGAGTAAAATAATAAACTGCAGAAAGAATAAAATGAGTGCACTTTGTACAAATACACTCATCAGCAAGTAGGACTGACCTAAACATTACTCCTAGTTGAGTAAATCAATTCTCAATCAAAGCCTCTGTCATATTAAATCACACTTAATTTATAAGCATTACAATAGTTAGCTTATAGAAGTCAAAGATACAGAAGGGTAATACTTCATGTTTAGCAGGTCTTATTTGAGAGATGATCCCCTATCATGAACTAGAAGGTCTGATGTATTGAAATCTTTGGGGTTTGAGCTTAGACTGAGGAATGGTCCTTTCTAACACACAGTGGCACGCTGAACTTCATAAACAACATTTTTTAAATTCTCTGTAGTTTTTATAGACTCATTTTATGAGTGATTATATGGAGCCTGTGTACTTGTATGTATAGCTAATAAAAAAAACTCACCGGGGGCCTATTTCTGTCAGGACCACTATCGTCAAAGATGATTGACAATTAGCATACAGTTTGGATTGGCGGTATGGTTCCGTTCTGGGCAAGAACTCCCTGCGCATCCATGCAGCCTAGCATGGATGAGAGCAGGGAGAGCAGCGATAACCCCCCCAGGGTAACAGAACAGAACCAACATAAATGTATTGCAGATATCGTTAAAGTTCAATAATGTTATGTACACATTTTAGAATTAGTCTGATTCAAAGGAGAATCAGAAGGCTGAATCCTGACTGACAGAGGAGGAGTTGGGGATGGAGGAGGGTAATTAGCTATTGAGCAATGCGAAACTCTGCTCCGCATCAAAGGTGCTCACATATGCATCGGGGTCCTGGCCGAGCAGGACGGTGCCCCCAGGACGGATTGAGAGACCTTTTCTATAGATCTTGAATAAACTACGATGTCCATCCACCCAGAAGGCAGTGAGACCAGTCGCAGAGTCCCAGGTGACACACAGGTGAGTCTGGAAGATGGAGAGAGGAGGCAGGTGGAAAAATGCTCCATTGCTACTAGACTGAATATACAAGGACAAATGACCACCAGCCTCTCTCCACAGGTTCAGCTCATCGACGTTAAATGTGCGGTAGGCGAACAGAATGATGTCCCTCGTGACCTGGAGCTCTGTCGCGACACGCATGCAGAGTGTGAATGCTGAAAGACTCAGTGGCTTTTCAGGAGTGAGTTTAACAAAGCTGCTGTTAGTCTTGGTTGGAAACAAAAGCACTTTACCACCAAGACCCACTGCAAGACAAAACCAAAATAACACATAAAATCTATATATGCATCTTTTACAATAGACCAGCAGAATCTCACTTACAACAATTTATAAATGAAAAATGTGGTACCTTCAGTAGCCGCTGGTGTCAGAAAGAGCAGACCGAAAAATAAACCCAACATCGTTCTGCAGGTCTGAAGGAAAAACAAAACATGCAAGAAAAACCATTACTTCTTTTAGCAGACAGCCTCTTCACTGCATCTTAAGTGTTCAGTCACTTTTAGAGGCAAAGGTCCTGTTTACATTTAGTATTAAGATGCGTTTTGGTCGATCAGATCACATTTATGGTTTACACCTGCTTTTTTAATCCACCACTTTTGACTACTTTCCTGATTTCTTTCAGAGGAGGGTCTATGGGTGTATGTACGGGCTGTTCTGATCTTTCTATCTAAAATCGAGAAACACTTTCAATTGACTTATGATTGCATCTTATGAGACTGTCTTTGGAAAACCGTGGTTTTAAGGAGAAAATGCTCAGCAATGGTGTTGACTGATGCATTTTCACATGATCTGTCTATAATCATATTGAAAACCCAAAACAGACATGTAAACGATGTTAAAGGGGTCATATGATGTTGCTAAAAAGAACAGTATTTTGTGTATTTGGTGTAATGAAATGCTTATGCGGTTTAAGGTTAAAAAAACATTATTTTCCACATACTGTACATTATTGTTCTCCTCTATGCCCCGCCTTTCTGAAACGCGTCGATTTTTACAAAGCTCATCGGTCTGAAAAAGTGAGGTGTGCTGTGATTGGCCAGCTATCCAGTGCGTTGTGATTGGCCGAATACCTCAAGTGTGTGACGGAAATGTTACGCCCCTCACCATACTGTGATGATGCCCTGTCAGGCCGGAGCGATGATTAAAAAACATGAAAACCCATTATAAACGAGGCATTCGTTGCATCCAGTGGGGACATAATTATGGATTATAATGACTTATACTGTCTTTTTACACGTTACGTTGCATCGCGCCACGTAAACATAAAACCATGTCTGCATTTGTGATCGGAGAAATGACAAATAACAAGCACTACTCTACACTGCCCAAAAAACTTGCTTTAAATATATAAAATATAAAAACTCTTTAAATATAAAAGACATACTTACATTCTTTGAGTCAGAACAGCCGGCATTGTAGTCTACTCTACCAGGAAACAGTCCTCCATAAAATGTGCTGCACACATCCGAATATTTGGGTTGAAGTGTTCTGGAACAGTGTTGTAAATACAACTTAACCACTGATTTCTAGTCGTATCCATTTTTGGAAGGCCAAACAAAGTAGTTTCGCTTTCACAATGAAGCACACAGCGTCTTTACGACATGGCGGCGGAAACAACAAAACTACAGTGAGAATAAAAGTTACGCCTTCTTTCTTTGCGCAAACATTTGGGCGGCGTTATGCAAATTTTCCCACATCGTGACGTAGACATGTGGGGGCGTGTTAGAACAAGGCGTTTTAGGTAGGTGTGGTTGACTCTTAACTTTTATAAAGAATATCTCTTTGGATTTGAGACTTTAGTCTGTGCTACTTTACAGATCTTCTTTATGCAGCAAGAGCTTGTAACACTCCAAAGAGAAAGGAAAAATTGAAATCGCATCATATGACCCCTTTAAGACTTGTGAGTAAAGAATCACTGTTATGATTGGCTAACATCACTGCATTGGCAGTGCTGGACAGTAACTGATTACATGTAATCTGATTTCATAATTAGATTCCAAAAATTAAGCACTTGTAATTATTTTATTACATTTTAGAATGTGCATAATCAGATTACAGTTACTTTATGGATTACACGTTATTCACACAATGGCAGTGATTTATATATATAAAAAAAAAA